TCCTTTTTCATTCTTTGCTTTATTAGTTTGGTTGGTATGTTGGGGTGTGCATTTAATTGTTTTCTTGTTTCTATGACAAAATACTTGATAAAAGCAACTTAAGGAAGAAAGGTTTATTTCAGTTTATGATTCAATGGAATGTAGTACATTACATCTAGGAAGGTATGGTGGTAGGAGTGTGAGATGGCTGAGAGAGAGAGAGAGAGAGAGAGAGAGAGAGAGAGGAAGGGAGGGAGAGAGACAGAGAGAGAAAGAGAGAGAGAGAGACAGACAGACGGAGAGACAGAGAAAGAAAAACAGTAATGTCACACTTTAAGAACAGTTCTTACTCGGTAAGGTAGTAGCAGTTTTGTATTTAGCATGACCAAGGAATCTTTGATTTGGTTGTGTGAGCCTTAAGTGTGCCAGTGCTTCCGCTTTGGGCCCAAGGCTGTTCCACTCTTGTCTTTCACACACCCAGTACTTAGTAACTGAAGGTTGAATTGCCGAGGTTTCAAGTGGAGGGGAGGATGAAGTTGCAGCGCTGGCCCCCACTGCACAGTAGATGTGCCCTTGTGGTCTGGGGTTTGTTTTTGTTTTGCTTGCTAATTTGCTTCTCATCATTTAAAATAGTGCAATGATTGTTTTAATTAGTATACTCTAAACTCATGAAGGAAATAAAAGTACAGAAAAGCCATATTTACTAGTTATAAATAACTACAAAAATGTAGAGTCTTAGTGAGTGCTGATAAGAATAATTATTTGCATTTAAATAGTACTTTCATTGTAACCTAACGCTAATATCAGAAAAATAGGTAACAAATATACTGAGTACAATGCAATGCTTTGTACAAACTTAACAGAATTAAATTCCTTCTTTCAAGATGCAACTTCCTTTTGGAAGACCGGATTTAATGAAAAGGCATTAGCCATCAACATCATGGGTGTTCTCTTCAGAGGAGAAGCCACACTTCTCTCCCTCAAGTTTCTTCTGCACCCAGAGATGTTGGGGATAGCGGGGAGAATTAAGTCCTCATTAAGTGATACAGTGAAGGGCCTGTCTGTAAGAAGGGAGTTGGTGCAGCTTCAGTGGCTGGAAGTCCTGCCTGCAAAGTCAGGCAGTGTAGTGACTATGCTTATGTTTCTGCTCTTAGGTGAGTGACTTTGGCTTAGCCGTAAAGAAGCATGGCTCCAGGAGTGAAGGCATGATGCAGACAACATGTGGCACACCTATCTACATGGGTAAGTGAGGAGACTGGGGAAGAATCTTCTTCTTTGTCAAAAAGCAGAACAGTTGCAGGGTGTAGTGGCTGATGCCTATAATCCTAACACTTTTGAGGCTGAGGCAGGAGGATTGCCATAGGCTGCATAGTGAGCTCTGGTCCAATCTGGGTTACCAAGTAAGACACTCTCAAAAGAAAAAAAAGTAGAGCAACTAATATAGATTACAGCTTGAACAACTGGCTACCTAGTGATTTGTGATCAAGTTACTTTTTCTTTTCTTAGGTCAAATAATTTCAGCTGTTCCAACAGTTTTCTTATTGTTTCTAATTTAAGAGTTTTATAATCTTCATTACAAAACTTCTTAAAGTTGTTTGTATTTCTTAGATAATCATACTCCAAATTAATTGCTTTTTACTTTGTTGTTGTTGTTGCTGCTGCTGCTTTTGAGACAGGGCCACCCTGCAGCCTCACCTGGCCTGGCTGAGCTATCTCTGCCTCTGGAGTGCTGAGATTAAAGGTGTGCACCACAACATCCAGCTTATTGCTTTTTAAAATCGTGCTAAACTATGTGTTTTTCTTCTTCATACTTTTTTACCCAATTTCATTGCCATCAGTTTTTCATAAGGATTGTTGATTAAAATATTTGTTAAGTGGTACATTACCATTCTAAATGTGATTTTTAACAGCTTCATTAAAGTTAATGTACAATTCAATGATTTGTTTTTATATAGTCACAGAATTGTATAGCCTTTACCACCACCTAGTTTTAAAACAATTTTACCCCTAAAGTTCCCTCCTACTCATTTGCACTCAGTCACATTTCTATCCCAACACCAAGCAGCCACAAATCTGTCTATATTTATTATTTCCTTCCTTGCTCCTTCCCTCCTCCCTTTCTTCCTTACTTCTCTGTTTTCTTTCTTGTTTCTCTGGAATGATGGCCCTTTTCTGGACATTTCATATAGAAGGAACCACACAGTGAAAGAACACACGGTTTGTGTGTGGCTCACTTTCATTTAGGATGTTGTTTCTCAAGCACATCTGTGTTGTAGTATTTATCTGTAATCTGTTCTTTTATACTGGAAAAGGCCTCCTTCCCATGGATATGCAGCATTTCGCTTACTCCCTCAGTAACTGATGGCCATATGTATTGTTTCCAGTTGGGGCTGTTATGAATATGCTGCTGTGAACATTCATGTGCAGGCCTTTTTGAGGACAAGTAGATTCATTTTTCCTGGGTAGCTATTTTACATGTATGAATGTTTTGCCTGCATGTGTGGAAGTGCACCATGTGCATGCAATACCCATAGAGGCCATAGCAGTTTAAGGAAACTGCTAGAATTTATTTTCAAAGTTGCCATTACTTTCCCCACTAACATATTAGTTGTCTATTTTTTCATAGGTTCAACAAATGAGGGTCTCAATTTTTTCATGTTCTTGTTAACTCTTGATATTTGCTGTATTCCTCATTGCAGTCACTCTAGTGAGATAAAGTAGCATCTCAGTGTAGTTTTTAATTTGAATTTTCTAATGACTGATGATGTCGAGCAAGAAAATAAAATTAGTTACTTGTAATATCTTCTCTGTTGAAATATCTGTTGTATCTATTGAGATATTGAATTTCTCTTTTTGATATGCTAATGAAGTAATTACATCAATAGATCTGTGTATGTGTTCATGTGTTTGGCTGCAATGTATGCACATGGGTATGGAGGCCAGAGGCCAACCTTGCATGTTGTTTCTCAGAAGGCCATCTACCTTGTTACGTTGTTGAGACAAGGTCTCTCATTAGAACCTGGGGCTAACCATTTAGGCTAAGCTTTCTGGCCAAGAAGCCCCTGGGATCCATTTGTCCCTGCTTCCCTCCCGAGTGCTAGAGTTGCAGGCATTTACCACCAAGCCTGGCTTTTTATGTGGGTGCTCGGGTTCAAAATCAGGTCCTCAAACTTTCATGGCGAGCACTTCATCAACTGAGCCATCTCCCCAGCTCCTTCATGAATAGATTTTTAAACACTGAGCCATCCTTGCACTTTTGAATTAAATCTCAGTGGCTACTGCTTTACTTAGGAGCTTTGACTATTGCTGTCTTCTTCTTACGCTATCCTTGTCTTTCATTTTAAAAAATTATTTATTTAATAACTACATACTTAGAAGAAGCATTTCATTATAACAGCATTGACATAGTCAATAACAATTTCCAGAGCTAA